TTCCTATTTTTAATCCTTTTTGTGTTTATGCTGAGTTTTTCTGGCATTTCACATTTATTTAATGATGAATTAAAGGTGATTAAAATTATTAATTTCGAAAGCAAATCTTCATCTACGTTGTGTACTTTTAATTACCTCTTCTCTCAATTTTTATTTAAATTAGTTATCACCCGCGACTCTATTTACTATTAGCGCAAAATTAAAAAACTTAATCGCCTATGTATTCTTAGAGACTTTGTTCTATGTGCCAAATGTGCGTTCCGGAGATACCTTTAAACAAACATCCATCCATCCATCGCAATTTCGCAACATGATAATCAGAAATCACGTGTAACAGTATTAGAATCGCATCCGACAGCAGATAGAAATAGAATAAAAGATTACCTTTAATAAATTTAAGAAAATTTACTCTCATAGTTAAATAATGGCTTATTAAACTAATATCAAACTTAACTAAAGGCCGCCTAAAGACTGGGAACGCATCTGCGGTTCCTCTGGCATTGCTAATAATCATGGGCGTTGAACACCTCGGTGTTCCCGCTGTTATAAATAAAAACTATTTCATTCATCTTGTACATTATCCTTTTGTCAAAAATGTACGTATATAAAGATAATCTCATTGTTACGTGAACACGACACGTGTAGGAAGTAATCGTGTGTTGCGCGTGAACACTAGCTGTAACGAATCGATGGGAAATCGATTTTTTAACGTCGTAAATCGTAATCGTAATTACGAATGTAATCGATGACGGCATATCGATTTCAATTATTTAGAAGTATTCGTGCGTCACCTGGTGTTATAGTCGAAGTTGTGATATACTAGCTGTCGCTCGCGACTCCGTCCGCGCGAAATTATAACAATTAGTAGCCTATGTGTTCTCCCAGACTATGTTCTGCAACCATGCCAAATTTTATCAAGATCCATGCAGCCGATTTTGACATACCTTCAAACAAACATCCATTAACATCCATACATAAACTTTGGCATTTATAATATTAGTAAGATATATTCTTATCAAAATGAAACTAAAAAAAAAACAAGTCTTACGTAATAAACGAATGCCTTAACTTAATCTTAAGTGAGTTTAGAATAGTAAAAACAATTTAATTTATTCAAATCAAAACCACCGATTCATTCGATACGTGACATTAAAAACAAAAGTAAAAAAATGGCCGCTATCACTATGACATACTAAACCTTCCAAGCAATTAACTACCTTAACACAACTATTTAGAATTACTTTTCCTTTGCCTGTACACTTGGTACTTTCACTAAGTAATGCCAATGTCAGCTCGACTATTTTCACTCGCATTATACAATCTGTTACGTATTAATTGTGACGTAACTAAAACCGGCACGTGGGATTTAATACAAGTTTTTTATAAAGCCACTCACAGACGATACTTGTTGAGTTTTATTTAAATAAATTTATAATATCAATGTACACTTATAGGTAGAATTAAAGGGATTTAATAAGTAGAAATTAACGAATTAGCTTAATGGGTACAAGTGGTTTGGAATAATAGACGTGGTACACACCCGCTCAACTCGACTTTCTGAATACAACTGTCCCAACACCAAGAAAGTATCAAGACAGAAGTCAATACACGACAACTCAAAATCAACTGAGACCTCTATTCGATGATCAGGATGTCACGGAATAATATTTTTTCTTTTTATAAATTCAATTACCACCCTTACATGTATTGGGCAAATATAGGGATGACTGACTCCGTCCGCGTGGAATAAGAAAAAACTTAATTAGTTCCCGGCAATTATTCGAATATTTCTAACCTTTTAAACCTTCCCTAGACCTTCACGAACATTTCAAGACCAAGATAAGATAAATCCGTTAAGCCATTCTCGAGTTTTAGCGAAACGAACGAACAGCAAATGATTTTATTTATTGACTAGTTGTCGCCCGCGACGCCGTCCGCGTGGATATATAAAAAACTTAATAAGTGTAGTCTATGTGTATTTTCAGACTATGTTCTATACGTATGCCAAATTTAATCGAGGTCCGTTCAGTCGTTCTAGAGATATCTTCAAACACCCATCCATCCATTCACATCACATCCATCTAAACATTCGAATTTATAATATTAGTAACTAAAATAAAAAGCAGCTCTTCAAGGCATAAAAAAATGAATAAATAGTACCCTATGTCCGTCTCCTGGCTCTAAGCTACCTCCTCAATTTTCAGGCATATCGGTAAAGCCGTTCTTGAGTTATAAATAGTGTAAATAACACGACTTTCTTTTATTTATATCTATAGATGTATAGATGATATTACATTGTAACAAAATTTGTCTCAACAATGTTCAACATATGCTGAGAATGCTTTAAAACGGATGCTCCTGAACGGAATCAAATTATCAAAGTAACATTGTTGCTCGCTAGCTTTGTAAGACAAACGTCTGAACACAACTTAATTTTGTAGTAAATTTTATGACGCACTTTACTCGCTTGGAAATTTTGAAGACTAAAGGAAATCTATAAAATGAACAGTCACATCACTAGCTTAGTACTGAAATAGTTTTATTTACTATTAGAAATAGTTTATTTTACTACTAGCGAAGTGGGAAGATTGGAGTTTCTCTTTTACTTTGCTTTGCTGTTTTTGGGGGGGTTTAATATTTTCACCCAGTTGTAACGAGTTGAAGGGCGGTTAGGCTTTGAACAGTGAACCTTATTTACAATTCTCTTGTTGTGTAGATTGTTCGAGATTTTACGACTGAACCAATGCTATAGAGAATTACTAGAAGTGTTAACTCACAAATACTATACTAAAAACGTTTTATGTGACTAGATTATTTTGAAAATAATTTACTGATTAAAGGTAGCTAGAGTTGCCTATAATGACTATTTAGATGTCGCAGATTTGAAGAACTTTTTTTTTATTTAAGAAAAAATATAGTCTATTGTCTATTGAATAAATAATATTATTAGCTTTTGATGACATTTTTTAATTGCTTAGAAGTTTTATTGTAGCATAACAATTCAGTTTTTTATTTATAGATGTAAAGCACTTCCAGTCGTCATACATCTATGTAAAGTTACAAGGCTTTTCTTCGGTTCATACGATTCCCTATTCTGTATACTCTCACAATATGTACCGATGTTTGCGGAGCATATTTGCTACTGTTTGTTGGCGTAATCTCTGTGTTTGCCAAACATTTCGTCCCGTCATAGACATGTTTTATCACGTAGAGAGAATAACAAGCATTATAGAGTTATTGAATTACGGATTCCGGATTACGTTCAAGGGATTCTATTAAACTGTTTGTCTACATTATTTACTAGCAATTGTCCGCGACTCTGTCCGTGCAGAATTAAAAAAAAAACATCACAAAAAAAGGACAGTCTTACAAAAATATCAACACTTATTATAATATTGAAAAGAACGTAGAAATATTTTTTGCACACCCTATACTTTTAATACTTGCTTATTTCAAAAATACTAAAATTTTATAGTCCGTGTTAGGTTTACTATGTTTAACGATATGGAAACTGTTAGTAAGGGGGAGATATCTTGGCTGTAGGTGATTATTACAAAGCCATGTCCACACTAGAGATTTTTATAGCGTCTAGAATTTAACGACATTCGACAAAGCAGTTTTACTACGTTGATAAAAACGGTTACTCAATTATAGTATTAAAATAACCGTTACTCTGCAATGCATGTTATAACTGAATGACAAAGGCGTCAGTGGCTCAGAGGTGAGGCACTTGACTTGTAATGTGTAGGCCATGGGTTCGAATTTTGTCATGTAACAATGTGTTTTTCCATTTACATATGTTTATTTCATCATCCGACGTTTTTACGTTGAAGGAAAACATCGTGATGCAACCTGTATGTATCTACAAAGAAATTAAAAGATATGTCTGAAGTTATTATATATTCGTACTTGGCGTTGACTATAGCCTAGTCACCACTAACTTAGAGTAGGCTCCGAGCCTTTCAGTGGGGACGCATAGTAATCTGATGATGAACGCAGAAGAGAATATAGTATATAATAGAAACGTAATCTGACATAAAATCATATTTAAATTCAATAAATTAAGATGAATACCGTTTTGAAATATCAACATTAGTACAAAATAAAATAGAATTTGTTATAGAAACTCCCCGCGTCTTTGTGTCAAGATCAAAGAGTCGAGGACGTGACTTTGAAAAAGACGAATGCATTACTCTAACTTCACTTTGTTTGTCGTTGAAATAGACTGCTGTTCTAAAACTAGAGTTTGTTTAAAATATTGTCACACATTTCAATAAATAACTAACCAAAAGGTGAAAGCAGAGATTGTCATCACCCTAACCTTTTCATTAACACGTTAGCTGCCACAATGATTGTTCGAAAAACGAAAAAAATTAATCCGCTGTTTATAAGCTTTATGGGGCCTTGCGGGTTACGCTGTATACAACAATTCGGTTAAAAATTGCCGACAAGCCACAGCGAGGTATTGAATGGAAGTATGGCTTGTCGGACACATAGTCTGAAACGGCCTGATTGAAACATTAGCTTGTCGGACGTATTGTCCGATATGGCAGCTAACGTGTTATGGATGGTCGGCATAGTGTGAATTACTTTTTCATATATCACACAATCTATCCCTACATTCTTATATCTTCATCTCCTAGTAACCATCCACTTATGATAAGTAATTTTATTTCGACAATATTCAAACTTTCAATTTATTTAATATAATACAAAGATTGGATGTATGGATGGATGGATATTTGTTAAAAAGTATATCCACAACGGCTGCATTGATCTCACTGAAATTTGACATAGATTTTGTATAGTCTAGAAGAACACATAGACTACTAATTATGTTCTCTTTTGATTCGGCGCGGACGGAGTCGCGGGCGACCGCTAGTATATTATAGATGCGAATTGATACGTCAATAAAACAACGCGGTAGGTAACGAACTGATTTATTAAAGTCGCCGTGCAACACTATAAACACAAATACCTTACATCTCTCCCCACTAAGCTTACACATTAAATTTGGCCCGCTTCATAGCACGCAGTGCGCGAGCTGACATCTGCGGTGGCGTAACCCCCGGCTGAGACAACTCTGTCGCCGCGCGGGGCGACGCCTCCGGGGCCTCGCCACAGCAGGATGTCTCATCCATCGGCTGACCTCCCGACTCCCCACCGACCTCGGACTTCTCGGCCTGTATCTCTGACTCGTCACCGGTAGACGGGTGGCTAGTACGGGACAACGAAAAGCGCCCCTTAGCTGAGACCACCTGGTCTGCGTGTCTCCGCCATTCCACCCCATTGCCTACATCCACCTTATAAGAAACCGGCCCGGTCCTTTTTACCACCGTGGCTTCGGCCCATTTGTTCCCCTTCGTTGAATAATCGCGCGCGAGTACCGCCTCCCCCACGCTAAACTCTCTGAGATGGCCAGCGGCGCGGGCCGCCTGCCTCTCCTGCTTATCGCGCACGGTCGCCGCGGTATCCGGCCGCAACGCGTCTAACCGGCTGCGTATCTGCCGACCCAGCAGAGCCATGGCCGGCGATACGCCTGTCGTGGCGTGTTGGCATTTACGGTACTTAAACAAAAATTTAGTCAGTGCCGTGTTTACATCCTTGCCCTCGTGTAAAGCTTTTTTGATTGTTTTTTTAATTGTTTTAACGGCATTCTCCGCGGCACCGTTCGCCTGAGGTCGGTAAGGGGCCGAGGTGATATGCTTTATGCAGTTGTATTCACAAAATAATTTAAATTCCTGCGAGAAGAATGGTGGCCCGTTATCGGTCACGAGCTGTGATGGAAGCCCGAAACGTGAAAACACACTCCTAAAAACTTTTATAGTACTCTCTGCACTCGTGTTGCGCATCGGGATAGCTTCTAACCATTTCGAATGTGCGTCTATAATAATCAAGTAGCGCTTACCTCCGCACTCGGCGAAGTCAGCATGGATGCGCAACCACGGGTGCAGGGGGAACTCCCATGGGTGCAGCGGCGCGTGAGGCGGCGCGTCCCGCACTGTGCGACACGCCACGCACGCCCTACACGTCTCCTCTATATCCCTATCCATGGTAGCCCAATACACATAACCTCTGGACAAGCTTTTCATTTTATTCATACCTAAGTGGCCATCATGAATTTCCTCCAAAACTTTTTTTTGT